CTATGAACCAATGTGTACTTACACTGTGGTTACATACTACGTACACATCTAGTTACTAATTATGTTGCGATTTTGGTGTATTTTATAGTTCTATTGTCAGTCACAGCATGTCGGAGAAAATGCCTTTTGTGGCCCATGGCAAACAAAGTAAAGTAACATGACAAGTAAAGGTTAAACAATTGCAGAAATTTTATTTATTTTAAGTTTTTAAAGTGAAGTCTTGTTTAACATTATGTAATTTATTCTTGGAAATTAGCTGGCAGCAGAAATCACAGAACAAAACGAAATGTTATAATTTCATATTAAGTAAACGAGTAAACAATAATAATGCAATTGAAAACATAAGGTCATTGATATGACAACTAAAAACAACAATAATAATTAATGCCGCGATTTCAATATTCATAAAGATTCATTTTTAGGTGTCGTCAATACATCAGTTTTGTACGTTTAGAAGCTGAAAATACGTGAGTATTGTACGTTTTAGTGCCTGTAAAAACGCAAGTAAATGTACGTTTTGTAGAACCAAATTTTACGTAAAATACATACAAATTATCATGAGATCACGTTGCATTAGCCTACACGCGGTTCTTGGCTCATTTTGAATCTGACATAAGCAATTCGGTTGAGATGATAACTGATACTCGCTCCGAATGGATCATTGAATCAGTAAGTTGCTGTCTCGAGAACGGCCAACCGCATCAGTCCAGTTCGAGCATGACTCGTTTATTGTGAACCGATTCAAAAGAATCGATTCGAAAGAATAATTCGATCATAATTTAGAAATAGCTATCGTGTTACGGTACAGACCTTGATTGCTTTCCCTCAAAATAACAAGGAACGACGTGTTTGAGTTTTCATGAAATGAAGAATATAAAATAGAATCAGACGAAAAATAACTATAGCCTATAACGGCATAGCCTATGTAGGCTATTTTTTTAAATATAGAACATATTTGAATTTTTTTTTTATTATTTGTCCATAGGAAATTAATGAGGTCTAATGTTTTCAAATATTTTCTTTTGTGTTTCACAGAAGAAAGTTATACATGTTTGGAACAAGTAAAATATGAGTTTTCATGCTTTAGGTGAACTATCCCTTTACAGTACAGTAACAAAGTGAAAATACAACACAAAGGGTCACAAGTCATTAAGAATGATGAGTACATGGGACTAGATTGGTAACTTCCATTTACCCTTTACTTTGGATCTCTGCCTCTTGATGCTGCCAAAAAGCAGTTTAATCCAAGCCGTTATTCCAAAGCTCTTCAGCTTGATGACATGATAAAGGACTTTGACACAGTGACTTCTGCTGACATGACAGACTTTTCTCTTCCCTGAGTTGAATAGTTGAATCCTGGGTCAGCAGCTTTCAGCAGAACCCCAGACTACAATTCCAGATGGTGAAGTAGGACCAGATCTCAGCTCATCAATTTAACGAGAACTGCCTCTGCTTAGCCACGTCCTGCTCCTTGGCCAGTGCTTCCGGCTACACCGAGGCCTAAACGTTTGACAAATAAAGACGGATTTCGGTTAATTGGTTAAGGGATGGCCTTCGTGTATGAAACTGGCAGCAAAATATGATGCAGATCCAGCGGTTTTCGTGATCTCTTGAAAGCTTCTGAGATCATAGTGACGAAACGTCGCCTTTTGAGACTCATTTAAAGACATTTGTGATTAACAAAATGGGGGGAGACTGAAGTGGAGGAAGTGATTGTTTATGCGTAATGAAATACATGATTCATTGTGTGATAGTCTAAATTACTTTAGATTTTTTTCTGTTCCTCATAGTGTAAAGTTTATAGCAACAGTCACCTCTTAGATTTGCAATATAGTGTTGTCTGGTAATGTTTGAGTGCAACTGTTGCTATGAAAGCAAAACGGATGGCAAGAGAAACAGAAAAGATAACCTTTAAAGCGTTCATACATCAAAACAAAAGAAACTTTCAAGGACGCTAACAGCTGCTTCTGTGATCAAATAAACAGCCAACATTTTCATCAAGGAATCAAATATGTCTGTAAAGTGAACAACACACTCACTTAGCCTATACACAGAATAAACTATTTTAGTCTATTTTTAATGCAAATTTATTTTATATTTATTGATATACAGAAGAAAAGTTGCAGCCGTAAATTCCCATTTTTGTCATTATTTGGTTGCAACGATCGCTATTTCAAACTGAAGAAACCTGCGCGATTCATTATCAGAAACCTGAACGAATCATTTTTTGAGCGGATTCTTTTCTATGAACATGTTCAATCTGTTCACAAATGGAACTGAATGATTCATTCTCGAAATGGAGGCTGCAGCTATTCTCGATCAAAACGTATTGATTCAGTGTTACCTGGAGAGTCAACTCAACGGACTGGTCCTGTCTGACTCAAAATGCAACCAAAACTGGTAGAAATGTCATCCTCAGGATTCGAGTTTATTTAGCCTTTTATTGAACCGCTTGCGCGAGAAGTAAGTTACTAGTGCTCAAACCACCATAAGCTTTATTCTGTCTGTGTCTCTCCAAATATGTATTTTGAGCAGTAGGATAGAGCGCATAAAATTGCAAAATAATAAATGACGGGCCATCGCTTTGTACTACATTTCCTACTATTAAAATTAACCTTTTTTACCTGTAGCCTAGGCTACTTAAATAAAACGTACCCTATACTTTTACTGGAGTAGGCCTAATAATTCACGTTAGGGTACTTTAACGTGTGTAGGCTACTTCGTTCACCAATGTTTAATTATCACCCCAACTTATTTCCTAGTTCTTCTACAGATAAATGCACTGATTTGCCAGTATTTTACCATAAGTATCCATACTTCTATTAATTCATCATTATATTGTTTCATATTGGACCATAAAAGCGTCTGGATGTCGGGCGTGTGTTGTGTCACGCCATATTTTTTCGAACCACTGTGGAACTAAAATCTTCGTCACTGTCTATTATTGTTGTTGCAAGTATTCTACAAATGGTTATGAATGTCCATGGGCCCTGCTTAAAAGTTAAAGCTAAAAATGGACTAAGTGCTAACAATATAATACATGATTCGTTTGTTTTCACATCTCCAACCTGAAGGCATGAGGACTTCCAGATGAGGTCCATCTCAGGCTGGAGATGTGGACTCCAGTAATATTACTCTCCTCCAGACAGTGAGCCAGAGGTTAAGCAGGAACTCAGCCCTTGCTGAGGGAGTGTGTGTAGGGGTGTGTAAGTCCTCTCTTCCTCACGGCAGATTGTGCAGTGTTATAATTGACTCATCCCTCCTCATGTCCTCATCGCGTATTTTTCATCGGCCTTTCATCGTCCTGCACTTGATGGTCGCCAATTGTAAGACAAAACGGTTTCATCAGTACGTTTGTACATGCGCTTTAACTGACGTTGCCTGCGTGGAATTTCTTTCTGATTCATAAATCAAACGCGTTTCATTGCTTTGCATAACGACCGACGGATTACATTTAAAATGTGATATTCTAACTTAACTTTTTTTGTAATAAAACAAACGTTACTCAGTACGTTTGTATTTGACTGTTAAATTACTTGACAGTTCAAAAGTTCAAGTGAACGTGAGCACCTGCAGATACGTTTCTCGCTCGATAATGAGACGATAAAAAACTTTTTTTAATTTAAACAAAAATCGCCCTGCACTTAAACAACACAGTTGTTGTGGATCCTCAAGGTTAACCGTATTTTTCTGACTAGCAGTGAGTTGAATCATCAGTAAGCAAGTAGCCTATTTCATTTAATTATGCAGAGCTTTCGGCTCATAAATATTAGGGAATGAGAAACATTATGAATAATAGAGCTTAATGAATAAATCAAGGAATACGTTAAAATAAAAACAACTACGAAATAATAATTGTAAAAAAAAAATTCTAATTTGAAAGAATAAATAAGACTATCTTTAGTCTATATCGTGGGACTATTTTCTGTTTGTCTTTTCATTACATTAAGTTCATTTTAAAACGTCAGGAAGAAGTCAAGAGACGTTGCATAGGCTAATATTGTCGATAAATTATGGGAGGAAAAATAAAAAGGGCTGACGCGGCCGCTTGGGTATTTTTAAAACATTAAATAGGCTACCAGTAATTGATTGGGCATTTATTATTATTATTATATTGCTATTATATTATCCTCGTTTAAAAGTTTGAAAAAGAAGTCAAGGAGTCAGTGATCTATTTTAAGGGTTTTCGATCTGCCATAAATTAAAAAACGTGATAAACAATAACACAGTTTAATAATGAACAATTGCAGTTCTCTTAAAGATTTTGTTACAACAATCCACTTTTGCCTTCAATGCAAGAATTTCTAACGGCCATAATGCTCTAAAACATTTGAATGAAACGCCCCAAATTATAAAAGGGCAGCCGCATTTGTTTAATGCATATTACGCCGTCTGAACGAGAGAAAAAACATTACGTTTGATGGATGTTAATGATAAAGCGCGAGCTTGCGCGCGGTCATTACGACGCTGTAAGGTCACGCACCTCAAAATAAAGTCTTGAAACAAAATGAAAGACTACATAACCGAAGCATAGGGTTAGAACGAGACATGAAACTAAACGTCTGTCCTTTCACAAACCAATTACATTTTTAAATTCCAATTCAAAACGGAATTTACATTTATTTCCGCCACCTTAAATAGCCACCTCAGACATTCCCTCAAATCTGCATAGTACTGTACACGCGCAGCAGAAGTCTGAAGTACATTTATTAACACGTTTACAGTGTCTGCTCAAATGTGTTTCAAAGCTCATAAAAAGCCAGTCTCTGAATCATTGTTGTCCATCCGCCCGACTCCCACAAACACACACAGTTTACTGAGACTCCCAGCATGCTGCATGAGTATACAGGGAGGAGTATTGTACAGGGAGAAGTAAATGAATGAAGTGTTAGGCTCATCTTTCCTCACTAGCCCTGTGGCTCCTCCTCCTCCTGACTCCTCAGAGTGTGAGCTCCTGGGCCTCCAAAGAAAACAGACACGCAAGAAAGGAGGAACATCTCTTCTTCTCTCCTCACTGCGAGAACTCGCCCCTACTTGGACGACCCGACCGAGCCCCAGTTTGCTTTCTCCCATTGTGACATGGGCTATTCCGATTGAAAACGAAAAGCGTTACACTTTTTCTGGCCGTGACCCAACTTGACTCAGCGATGACACCTTGACTTTGGGATTTTAGCACCGAACTCAAACGTGTTTTGTAAGTAGCCAAAAATGGGTTCTGATGTACGTGACCTCAACACTCTTCTCCCTCCCGTGCCCCCGCTGCCCGGGGGGAACGGTAACTGTGCCCTGCCCGTGAGCAGCACCCCACAGTGGGCACCGATGCTGGACTTTCACACCGGCGCTCCCTACAGCTCGCTGGGCCAGCACTCCTTCATCAAGCAGGAGCCCAACTGGGGTACGGCCGACCCCCATGAAGACCCCCACTGCGGGCTGAGCGCCTTCACCGTGCACTTCTCCGGACAGTTCACTGGCACTGGGGCCTGCAGGTACGGAGCCTTCGGGGCCCCTACACCCAGCCAGCCTCCACCCAGTCAGCCCAGGATGTTCAGCAATGGCCCTTACCTCTCCAACTGCATGGACAGCCAGCCCAGCTCCAGGAATCAGGGTGAGAAACTGCTTTAAATGTCGCTGTTATTCTGTTCTTGCTTCTTCGTGACATTGCTTTGAAATGTTTGAATAAGATAAGCCATTGTTTATCAATAAGTATACATTTTAATATATTTATTAAGGGCAAAAAGCATCACATTTTATGGTACACTTTCCATTCCACAAAAGGTTCTTAATAGTGGAAAAAGATTATTCAAATATTAATAGAAAAACTGTTCTTTTAAGAACTGTTCATTGGTGGAACCCATCTCGGCAAAAACCATGTATTGGGCCTATAAATTTACCGCTTTTCAATTTTAGTTCAGTCATTCCGTTTAGATTTCATCTGTTTAATACCTTTAATTCAAGCTTAATAAAGCTTCAGCTTTTATGTTGCACTTCTTTCAAAAAATGAAAGTAAAATCCAGAGATTTCTGCTCTTTATTTTTAGCTGTGATCACTCTAAATGTCATAATGTTGAAACTGGACCATTTAAATGACTCAGCTATTGGCCTAAAAGGCACTGTTTATAAATGAAATGAAATGTCCAAGTAGGACAACAGTCTTCAGAAATATTGATTACGCAAAAACTTTTAATTTTATTTTTAGTTCATTATTATTAATTATACATATTATTAGAATTATTTGTAATTAATTACATTAATTACACATTTATACAATTATTTTTAATAAATTAAAATACATTTGTATTAGGAAATAAGATTTTTGGCAGGTAGTCATTATTTTAAACCCTCATTTAAGACAATTTATTGACAGTTAAAAAGAATACAGTTTATCATCTTCTAATATTTGAGTTTTTTAGTGTGAGTATTTTATTGTGTAGTTTGCTTGTATGGACTTGTTTAAGTAAATGAGTAAATGTATTTCTGTGATTTATCCATCATCAGGGCCATCAGCTCACACATATTTGTCTGCCTTCAGTAATTACGTATCTCAGTGCTCCTGTATTTGGCAAAACAGTTCCCAGTTATTTTACAGATATGCTGCAAACACCTCATCACACAGGCGTTTAATGCATGTGACTCATTACTGTGTCAGTGCAAGAAACTTGGGGTTTTCGACTTGTTTTTGCAGTCAGGCAAGAAAAATATATTTTTCTTCCTTTTCATGATGACAGACAAAATCTTTTCAAATAAAGATGAAAAACTGCTAATATTATTCTACTTATTTTTTATTTTACGTAACTGTGACTAAATGCCTATTTGAATGCATGTCGTTATTCAGTAATCATATTGGTGGAAACTGTATTTAAGTCTTCCAAAATATGTTTTGAAATGATATTTGACTGGATAAGATACTATAAATAAGAACAGATAATAGAGACACACAACGACAAAAGTAAAAGAAATGTTTTATTCTTTCTGACGATATGTTGTTTGGACACCTGCATTATTAGTTAAATAAAATTCATATTTGATATTTTCTATGCATTTTATGATTTTAGATATATGGGTAAATTTTCTACTTTTATTCATAAATGAACAACTTAAAAAATTAGTACATATTTTGCAGTCCTTCTAACTATTTTAATCCACATTGCTACTCCAATACTTGCTATTTGGTATGAATTTATTTTTGGGGGGTATAATAAAATTTCATTTTTTTATTTCCGGCGATATCGTTGACATAATTGCAAAGATATTATTTAAACTGAGCTGGATGTTGACATCACTGAATTGAATGATGAACTGTCTTTAACTGAAAAATTAGTGTTTACTATTGTCATTTTGCATTATTGACACTATTTTCCTAATTAATGCTGTTCAGTTGCTTTGACACAATCTGTATTGTTAAAAGCGCTATATAAATAAAGGTGACTTGACTTAAAATGTTTTTTTTTTCAAATTAATATTTTGTAACTTTTAGCCCTCCTCTGTTAATACTAATAAAATAAGATAATCAATAATAATAAATAATATCTTCAGTGGTTGAGTTAACCCAGATGTAGGAGAATAAAAAAAAACACCATCACTCCCTAAGACATCTGATACTCGTTTAGTTCTAAATTGCATTTTGGAAATCTAAAGTTACAATTAATTGTGGGTACTGCCACTCTTGCCAATATCAGGCCACACTTCCAGCTCTTCGCTGACTCCCAGGTTCAAACTCTTGCTGAGACCTGGTAGGGTGGAAGAGAAATGGTCATCTTTAATGAGTTTTTCTCTGTCTGAGGTGAAAGTGGTTGGCTTGTAATTAATGAAGATGGTGGTGGGAGACCGTGATTTACGATGTTACGTCTGACCTGGGGTTACGCCGAGGCATGATTCACCCCCTAAACCTGGTGTCGGCTCTCGGCTACACCGTCCTGCCAGCGTTTGTTTTCCTCGCACAGCTTGTCCGCTCACCCCCGCTGGGGAACGGAGGGCTGATTAGGGTCCAAGGAAGAATATTCCTATTATCTGGAGAATAGCTGTGTTTTGCTGTTTATTAACTGATGATGCTGATGATGTTTTTATTTTTGGCACACATAAACGGGTTGTTTCCATCTCATTTAAAACATAAATGGTTTAAGAACAATATTTAAAATAGATTTTTTTTAAATGCTTATATATATATATAATTCTAAATATAATTTTTGTCCACTACAAAGATAATGTACTGTAGATGCCCGGGTATAAGATCTTAGAAATCAAATCAATGCCAGAAATAAATGCTATCAAAGGCTTTTCATTTATATTTCTGTTGCATTTCAGGTGACCAGCAGTATCCTGTTCCTCCTCCGGTATACGGCTGCCACACTCCCTCTGACAGCTGTACAGGAAGTCAGGCTCTGCTCCTGAGGAACCCATACAACAGGTACAGCTCCAGTCCTATCATCACAAGTAACATCTCAAGGCCTTCTGAAACATGTTCCTCTCTCACTCTCTCTCTACACAAGACATGTAGATCATTGCCGCTTCAGAAGTTTCTTAAATGCTTCCTTAACCGAAAAACAGACTTCACAAAATGTCATATGTATCCAAAAAGATATGAAGGAATGAGATATGAAATGAGAAAGTCATGCACATAGCCTCTGAATTCTTAAAAAAAAAATGGTCCAGAGTGGCCACAGACAGCACAACTGATAGTTGTCAGGACACACGGGGTGCAGGAAGTTCAAATCCAGTTCTGTTCAATAACCAGGCCTGTGCAACAATCAGAGACACGTCGAAATCTGCTATTATGGTGGCTCCAAAAAGTCACGCTGCCACTGAGCACGTAGAGGAAGTGCGGAAGTTAGGTAACAAGAGGAGGAAAAGGAGGCACAGGATGTTTGAATAAAGTTTGGGTACTTTAAAAAAAAAAAATGCATTAAAAATATACACTACCAGTTAAAAGTTTAAAGTAAAAAATGTTTTTTTTTTTAAAGAGGTGCTTATCAAGGCTGCATTTATTTGACCAAAGACACAGTAAAAACAGCAATACTGTGAAATATTATTATAATTTAGAATAACTCTTTTCTATTTTAATATATTTTAAAATATAATGTATTCCTGTGATGCAAAGCTGAATTGTCAGCATGATTACTCCAGTCTTCAGTGTCACATGATCCTTCAGATTTGCCGGTTAAGAATAAGAAACTTGCATTATTATTAATGTTGAAAATATTTGTTTCAAGATTCTTTGATGAATAGTGATAATGATGAAAAGTTCAAAAGAACAGCATTTATTTGAAATAGAGATCTTTTGTAACGTTATAAATGTATTTACTGTCACTTTTGATAAATTGAATGTGTCCTTTTTGAATTTGTTTCCAAAAAAAAAACAAAAACAAAAAAAACAAATTCTACTGACCCCAAAATTCTAAACAGTAATGTAATCTCTAATGCCACTATATAACAAACACAATTTTTTCCAGATTTGATCAATATAAAATAACAATTGTGTCAAATGCAAATTGGTATCATTTCATTTAACAGCATACTGCCAAATCAAAGCTGGGTTCTGTCGTGCTAAATAAAGGTCAAGTGCTGCACAGCATTGTGTACTACGCCAAGATAAACGGTTTAATCCACCACCCGTTTGCACTTTCAGACCAGCTTTGAATTCTTTCATTCTGATAAGTGCTTAACTGTTCTCGGTGGAATTCCCTTCGCAACTTGGTTTAACAGTACGAGTACTACAGCCCCGAAATGATCTCACATTCCTCGGATGCTTTCGCCATGTTGTTTTTCCAGCGCAGAGGGAACATAAAGATTCCAAATAACAGAATTGGGATGATAAGAGGACTTTGACTCAGGTCGAACGGCAGCTTCTCGGTGCTGTAATAAACAGTCTCCTATCGGGCTGCAGGGAGGAGGCTGTGAATCCTCAAATCAGAACGCGGTGCTGCTTTTCAGATCAAACGCCTGGTACCTACAGCCCTGTATTTACACAGGCCTCCGGTTAAAGCGGTTTTTAGGTAGCACGAGGTGGCTGGAATAAAAACATGTCCAGATTTTCAAAGTAAAATTAGGTTGTTGCTAATCTCAAAAGCAGATGCAGTGTACGAAAATGTAAACTGTTCACAATCTACAGGCTTCCTGCATCTGCGTCTGGTGCGTCAAAAATGAAAAACAAAGACCCAGACCATGTTCACAGAGCAAAGCTGAACGGGGGAGCTTACCAGACCATATATTATATCTTTGAACAAACGATGACATTTTTTCCATGAATTCAAGGTTCAATTTATGTAAGCACTGACATTAATTATTCCGTGTATTATTTGAGCTGCAAAGCTGTGTAAATCAATTTGTACTGTCTTTTTTAGGTTTAAGGTTTAATTGTAAGGCAATGAATCATAAAATTGGATAGAACTTTACAAAGAAAAGATTAGTAAGCAATCTTTGCATGATGCATTCTTAAACCATATTAATATTATAGTATATTATATTAGTTTTATGGATTTAAGCATTACATTGTCATGCCAATGGATTGTAAAATTGAATATAGCTTAAACTGCTTTCTAACCTGTGGCTGTACTTTTAAAACAGTGAACATTTTTACATTTATGGTTTGGCTTCATTGTGTTTTGCTCTGTTTAAAGGAATATACCAGGTTATTTTTTTATAAAAGCACTGGCATTAATTCTTCTGTTAAAACCAGTGGTTTATTTGAAATGCAGAGCTGTATAAATAATCATTTTTACAGTCATTTTAAGGTTTTATGGTTTAGGCGTTATATAGTTATGGCCATGAATAGTCAAATTGGATATAACTTTACACAGTAAAGATCATACAAAGTAAGCACAATAAAGTGAGCAATTTCTGCACAATAAAATCATGTTAATGCAAGAAAAATAATTTAAAATGTATTTTTGTGGTAACCAACATTATGCCATAAATACTGTTGATAAAAACTTGTGTTTAGTATATTTTCTGCAGGGAGTTTTTTTAATGCATTAAAAATGCTTACCCAGGTTGCATTTATTTGATTTAAGATACAGTAAAAACAGTAATATTGTGAAATATTATTATAATTTGGAATAACTGTTTTCTATTTTAATATAGTAGCAAATGTAATTTATTTCTGTAATGAAAGGCTCAAATTTCAGCATCATTACGCCAGTCTTCAGTGTCACATGATCCTTCAGAAATCATTCTAATGTGCTGATTTGCTGCTTAAGAAAATTGTATTATTATTATTAATGTTTAAAAGAGTTTAAAATTCTGTTCAAGAACAACATTAATTTGAAACAGAAATATTTTGTAACATTATAAATGTCTTTACTGTCACTTTTGATAAATATAATGCATCCATGTTGAATAAAAGTATTAATCACTTTCAAAAAAAAAAAATCTCAAAAATCTATTTTACCACAAAAAAAAAATTTTTTTTTTGTGGTAACCAACATTGTCACAAATGTGCTGAAGAAATAGAAATAGTCCTGAAACATATGTAACACAACATGTCAAATTAGTATCTTCAGCCAGTATTTTCTCAAAACAAACTCTGTTGATGCTGAAATACTGTTATGTTTCTTCATCAGTGAAGCAAGCGCAGTACCAGGTACCAGTTCATACCGCCGTATACTGTTGCCTGTCTATGATGAAACACTATGATGTCAGAGTTGCTGTAGATAAATCCAAACTATGTGTTTGGGTGAGCACCTAGCAGGGTAACTAATGGTCCTACAGCCAGGCTTTTAATAACGTATGGCAGGTTTTTGGTCAAAGGGATGACCTGATTAACTGATCACCCCTGGTGTGGGTAACCTCCTTTTTTTTTGCACATATGACACATTCATTCACTGTTACCCAGGATGCCTTTGTCAAAAGGGCTATTTTTCATTCACACATTCTTTACATCCAACAGTGGTTGCTGTTTTTTTTTTAGATTAGAGTGCATATAATAAAGGAATATACTGTATATGTACCGTATTGGCCCGAATATAAGACGACCCTGATTATAAGACGACCCCCCTTTTCCCAGATGTACCTTTTGGAAAAAGGCTTTTTAAAAACCAAATCTTGTTTTTTCTCAGTAAAACACATT